GACCCTAAGGCGCAGGGAACAAACCCTCTCGTCCACCGGGAAAAACCCCAACGTACCGGCAGCAAGCCGAGGGGATATTAGGATATCAGGTCCACTGATGAATACAGCTGCATTCAGAGAGTTTGCAGTGTTTAATAATCCAGTAAAGTCCCGTTTCAGAACCTCTGACTGTTGTTTGGACACATCGTTTGACCCTGAATGCAGAACAATGTTTGTCACAGTTGGATATTCCTCTGCAATTTGAAGAATTCTCTCCTTCAGGTTGTTGACCATATCGTTAGGAAAGCAGAGGACTTTAGTGTTCTTACCAGTAGGAAGTGGAAATGGCTGGAATTAGACATTTTTGAGTTGAATTAACTGAGTGCAACTGAAGAGGGGACGAACTAGTTCAGGTGTGTGTCAGTAATATCAAGTAAGGTTTGTTATACCTGCATCATTTATATTGTTAAAACTCTAACTTTGATAACAGAGTTAATGGCATATTTCAACTCTGAAGCAAGTTTTCACATTTGATTTTGATTTTAATCCTCTGTAGACCGCTATCTTCAATCATGTTATCATTGTGAGTCTTAACCAAGTGGTGCATTAGCCTCCACGTCTGAAAAGGATAGAGTGGAGTGAAAAACAGAAAAGTCAGTGATGTACTAATGTAGCAAAAATAGGAAACATTAGAACTGTAAATGTTTTCTTCCTTGTCTGCAGATTAAAAGTCCACAGGTTGGGTGCTCGGACTCTGATTCGTTCCCTGGAGATGAAGGAGAGAGAGCTCAGAGGATAGCAAGATGGAGGAGTGAAGGAGAAGGTGGTGCAGCTCAGTGTGCAATCAGGAGTGAGCAGTTCTTTCACTGCCTTCATTGCTGTCAACAAAGACAACGGAGAGGCAATCCACGGACCTCTGCACCGCAGACATATTCTACCACCCTGTGAGGTTTGTTTAAAGCAAAAAAAGCAATACCATGAAACTGTTAATAGCAGGATGTCACAGTCAATAGAGAGGACTCAAAAGAGCAACTTCAAATCAAACTATTTATGTAGTAGGTGTTTCTTTGCCAATGTCTTTTCCCTGCATTAGAAAGGAATAAGCCAAATAGAAGTACAACACACATCTACGCATTTCTATAAAAACTTTAATCATATATATACATATATATATGACAAACACACTTTTAATAAAAAAAAATTATAGCTTTGATCTCTCTTATATTGAATACTTTTATTGTTTTTATAACATTATTTATTATTATTTTATGACAGGATTATGATAAAGAGCAGCTCCACATTGAATTTTATTCAAGATGACCTGCTGATGGGGAAGAAAAGTAATTAAAGATTTTGGTTTTTGGTGCCAGACAGGCTGGTCTGAATATTTCATAAACTGCTGTGTGATTTCTGCTGTGACATTTAGATGTTAGGGTCAGAACTTAGCACAAAATGACATGGAAGCCTGGATCCATCCTGCCTTGTATCAGCAGTTCATGCTGCTGTTGCTGATGTACTTTATATCACTCAGGACCATCTGAGCAGTTATTTAAATGCCGTTGCCTGTCTGAGTGTTGCTGCTGACCATCTCCACCCCTTTATGAAGACAGTGCATCCACCTTCAGACAGATGTTTCTAGCAGGATGAAGTTCCATGTCCCAAAGTTTAAATCATCTCAAACTGTTATAATGAACATTAAAAGGAGTTCACTGAACTTAAATGGCCTCCACAGCCACCAGATCTCAAAACAAGAGTGTCTGTAAAAGTCTGCAGCAACTGTGTGATGCTTTGCTATTTAACTCACTGACTTACTCATTACCCATCATGACTCATTACACTGCTGGGGTAATGTTTCTGCCATTTTCTGAATCTAATTTTACTAATTATTTTATTTTTAAGATTTAAGACTTTGGAGCTGTGGGTGGACAGTCTTCGCAGTCTCACATGAAAAGTTCTTAAAAACTTAAAGACTGGAAACAAAAAGATCAAAAAAGGAAGAGGTTCTTTACTGTCCAGAGATGTCTGAGAGACAAAAGAGTTTATTCCACTCTGACAGTTATATTATTATTATTATTATTATTATTTGATTTGATTCCTAAAGATATGAATTGTTAGGGACCCTCTGCTCTACCTGACTGTAGCTTATAATAAAAAGCACTTCGATTGCTCAGTTAGAGTAGAAAAGTGTAACATAAATAAGAAACGTTCCATTTACCAGTCCGGCGTCACAGGTGTTGGTGAGTGAGCTGGGTGAAGTAGCTAAGAGTGCAATGCACACAAGTGTGGGTTCACTTACACAATGGCTACAAATAGAGTAAAGCCCTACCTTAAATCTGCTGACAACATTCACTGAACTTATCCTCCTTCTCTGACTCTTTAAGGTCTTTATGCGTGTGCTTTCAGTCTTCACGTGTCAAGTAGTTGACACAGATCAACTCTGACATCCAGGAAATGCCACCAGCGAGGAAACAGCCGAACCAACAAATGAACAAATTCTTCCTTCTCTTATTTTTCAGTTCATGCATCCTTGATTTCTTTGCTCTTATTTCCTTGAACCTGTCAGTATATCTTAGCTCCTCCCACCAGAGAAGTGAGCAAGTGAAGCGAGAAAAACATGTAGAGAGGAGCTAAGAGGCTTTAACCATATCAGACATCCTTGCTTTAGTCATTTTAAAGCAATGCCAGTTAAATATAGCACATCCATTGTTTTGTTACAGCAGACTACTACTAAAGTATTTGGCTGGGTCCGTGTGATGAGTGAGACTTTTAAGTCTGTGCCAGAGACAGAATAATTCTCTCATCCAGGAAATACTGAATGCAGTTTAACAGTTAAGATAACACAGAAACAAATTCTTCCCCCTTTTCTTATATTTTGGATTCTACATCCTTGATTCCTTTGCTCTTATTTCCCCAATCATCAAATTGCAGCTCAGTCCCTCACACATGACGAGTGAACAGACAAGGTGAAGAAGACATGAAAGGAGCTAACACGAGAGGTATTCATGCCTCCGAGCCATTACAGCAATGTCAGTTAAAAACGATGTTTGGCACAGATGCTGCTGGTGTTCATTGTTTTGTTGCAGCACACTCCTACATATTTACAGAGTCCTGTTTCCACTCCCTGTTTGTTATGTCTCTTTTATACGTCATTAGTAAAACACATTACTCAGGATATAGTAGATCCTCCAGATCTCCCCTTTCCTGATGCATTTTAGAGACTCAAACATGCTTCAAGATGGCACATTAAGACTGATTACTGGGTCACAGCCTGCAGCACAGAAAAGAAAGGCAATGAACAGATAAATGAGGAAAAACCTAAGCTGTTGCAGTCCTGTTCTTCATACCTGTTTTAGACAGTAGGGTGAGCAGTTTAATCCTTCACCTGTATTTAGGTATAAGAGAGCCATGTCTGCTTTGAGAGATCAGTTATTGTGATGGATTGTAGCTTTCGAACTTGGATGATGAAATCATCTACTTCCTGCAGGGTTATTGATCACTTTCTTTAATTTCTCAAGTGCATTCAAAATGATTCAGCTGCTGCTAGTGAGAAAAAAAAACCACAGTAATGTCAGTAAACACCACCTCATGGATCACTGACTGCCTGACAGACTGACCACAGTATGTGAGACTGGGCCGAGCTCTGTCTGATTTAGTGATGTGCAGTAGGAGCTCCACAGGTGGACAGTTCTGTCCTGGACTTCATACACTCAGACTTTCAGTACAAGTCTGAGTCAAGACACCTTCAGAAATACTCTGATTCTGCAGAGGCTGGATTTAATAGTGATGGCAGGAGGAGGAGTTCGAAGCACTGATGGATAATTTTGTGATGTAATCGTGAAACAATCATCAGCTGAAGTACAAGTACCTTATACTCATAGTACATTGAAAACAGGCTGAACTGGAAGATCAACACAGAGGCTGAATACAAAAAGGACATGAACAGACTTTCCTCAAGTAGTGAGAGCCTTCAATATGTGCAATCCTGTCTCTGTAAGGCAGAATAAATATGTTGATCATTATTAAATCATTTAGAAGAGAGAGACCTAATGTTTAATTCTTTTCCTGTAACTGTTTTACTCTTTGGTGTAGTTGAGGATGTTTTATTGTTCATTCTTTGTGACTTTTTATACTGAAATTATTTTTTATGGTTTTCTGTTTGTCTCTTAGTGGTCATGACCAGGACAGTTTCTATGGGGATGGGGTTGCAGAGATGTGTGTAAGTCTGTAACTCTGCTTCCTGGTCCAAGGTCTGGAGATCCACATTTTGGGGTTTTGAATCCATTCAGTCAGATTTCTATAAATGTGCGGTGCTCCATGTAAAGTAGTGTGGATGCCATCTCTCCTGATAAGACCACCTTTTCCCCAGAAAGCTCACATCACTCAGACAGACAGCGTTTTAACGTGAACCTGCAGCTAAACATGTTACTGCTGATCTGATACACTTTACACTAGATACTTTGGCCCATACCGACCAGTCTGTTTATATATAGGATTATTTTCAACACCTTTCAGACAGGTGTTGAAAATTAATTTAACCAGCTATTTATATTTTGGGCAAGATAAGATACATAATGACTTGACTTATATCCTGTAAATACTGCTTCTAGCAGCAAAGAATATGTATTTGGAAACAAAAATAACAAAACCTGAAATTAAAGTTCACAAATAATAAGAGGGTGTTGCGCTAAAGACCTCACTGTGATCGCTGATATCTAGCACACTGCCAGTTGTGGCTTGCATGGAAGACGTAGACTTGTCTGCAAAAACTTGTGAGCTGCAGTGACACAATCAGACTGCAAATCTGTGCATCAAAACAGGTCAAGCCATCAACAAAAAGATAAAGGTAGGTGTTGGAGACCTTTAAGGTGGTCTGAACATAAAATGGTGCCATGAATTGATGTCAGACTGCACATACTGTTGGAGGAAAACAAACAACAACAACACAACAAAAACAACAAAATCAAATATACTCCAAAATTTCACATGAACAACATTTTTTAATGTCCCTGGCCTGCTGCTTTGGGTGAGCCAGGCGCATCATATGGGGGCCAATAACAATATTTGGATGGCAAAACAGAATTCCCTGTTTTATTATGCTGTTGTCTAATATGGGTTACTTGAAAAAATATGGCAACAAAGAGACAAAAAAAATACACCCATTTGATTTCCTGCTATTAAAGATATGACTGAAAATAAGTACATATGAAAAACAAATAAGATGTCAAAATCCATAATAATTTGTTTTAAGCAGTAAATTTTGGGGGGCCCAAAATTTGCTGCCCAGCCCCAGCTCCCCCTATTGGTAGTGATGTCCCTGGCTACCACTTGAGAAAAAGCAAGAAAGATAGAGACTGCTGGGTGAGCTACACTGAGTTCTGTCAGCAGAGAGAGAGAGAGAGAGCTGCACACTCTGCAGTAAATTTATTAAAATAATTTAGTAAAAACTGCCTCTGCTGTCATGGAGAAAAATAAACAGGCAGGAGTCTCCATCTCTGATTCTGTCTCTTCTCTGTTTTTTTTCTACTTATATCAGAAAATGTTTCATGTGACTTCATCCTTATACAAGAGACACAGTTGTAGCTATAAAGTTAAGGAAAGTCATCATTTAAAAATGCAGTGACCAAGTGTAAAATGGACTGTTGTGACTGGCTGAAATGAAAAGACCCATGAAAATGTTATTAATGTTACTTTCTCATAAAGAAGGAGAACACATTCAGTCCTATTTCCATTTAAATATATATTTTTAAGTAATTAAAACATGATGACACGAACTCCTAGATAAGTATCTTTATTTGGAAATGTGTAGGAAATTGTTTGCATCATTGTTTCACAGAATAGCATTATCAAGATGTGACGATAGCCATACTGAGCAGCAGGTGTCCCTGTGGTTTCATATTGTTTCAAAATGTCAATACAATTTCAGTGCAAATGCTTCAGACATTTCAGTGTTTCTGTTTTGTTCAAGCCTCAGTTTGACCATCAAATTGTGGAGTGTCGCACCAAAGAGCTTCATTCAGACTTTGGTGCAACACTCAGCGCTATTTAGACTCAAACATCGTTTCATGTGTGTTGCATAAGTGTATTTTGGACTTCTCAACAATGGAGCCATCAAGGAAGCATTCCCAGGTGTAGGAATATTTTAAGCTGGTGTCACCAAAAAATAGAGAATTAAATTTACTCTCAGTGTTTATTCAAATTAAATATACTTACATGTCTATATCTTTCATAGGGTGCTTTTGTTACTGTAAATAAATAGAATAATACAATATTATGTGGGAAATAAATAAATGTGAGATGAAAATGATAATGAAACTGATAATATCAGTGTTTGTATTTCCATACAAACACAAGACAACTGCCTTATTGCATTATGTAAAAAACCATCTTCCCTGCCCAGTATATAATTAACAATCAACAATGTTTCACAATGTTTTATCTTTTTATTATTATTTTCAGGTTCAAATTAGTCAGGCAGATTTTTCTAAGATGGAATACACAAAACAAAGATGTGTAAAATGAAGTCAGGCTGTCAGGATATTTGAGAAATTCTTGCAATCATTTTAAAATACGTATGAAAGGTGCATCACACACGCAAGGCTTCTTTTGGCAGTACATAGACCACCGTTGCCAGCAGATGTCACC